GTGAAAACGTCCAAGGGTATATTAGAAGCCCTTCCCTGCAACATCTAGGTCAGTAGTTCTCACCTTGGCTGCACATTTGAATTGCCTGGGAAGATTTGAAGATCTAATGCCCGGGGCACTTTAATGAGAACCTCTGGGTTGGGACCTGGGCATCAGTATTTTTTAAATTTCCCAGAGCATTCCAACCTGTCGCCCAGGTTGAAAAGCACTGCTCTGTGCAGATGGAGGAATGCCTTCTGTTAAACACTTGTGTTTGAAACATGGATTTATTTTGTATGGGCCCTCATGAAAGCTCAGCAATTATAGCTGGAAAAGAACTTGGGTCAAGTTCAATCTCCCTGCCTCTTAGTCACGTAAAGGCAATTTCTTTACATGGTTTTACAGCTGGAACGCTGAAACCCAGAGTGGTTAGGTGGCTTGCCTAAGGCCCCGTACCTAATAACCTGTACATTGGAAAGTAAACTCCATGTTTCCTGCCTGCAAGAACAATGCTTTGTCCATAGCATCACACAACTGGGAGAAGAAGATTCCAGAAAAGGCCTCTCCACCCCCAGCAGGCCCACTCTAATCAAGCAGTTGTTCAACAAAAATGAGAAAACTAGAACTTCAATAAGTATTTCATAACCGTGTAACTTCTGTTGATAATCGATCAGCCAACTTTGGTTTGGTTGGATCAAAGTCAGAAATTGGTGGACATCTTTGTTAGTAGGAAAATAAACTTCTTTAGAAAGAAGTCAGAGGGGGGAAAGAACCTACTACCTTTATTTTGTAATGGGAAGGTTTAAAAGCAAAAATTTACGGAACTTCTAAGTAAATTAAATGTCCAGATTTTTAGCTAATAAGTGTAGACAACCTTGGTTCTTTTTTGTTCCTCACAACAGAATGGATTTGCAGATGTGAACTGGAAGAGAGATTTCCAAACCTCTGACTTGGGAACTTTCTGGGTATGGAGAAAAACAAAGTTGGCATTTTTCTTTAGTAAATACAGGGAGAAGGAAGTGAAGTGTTCACCTTGAAAATTATTGCTCTTTCACCAGCTAATCTGTGTGCTTGGTGATGTTTGTCCCTTATTTCACTTCCTTCTGTGCTTGTGAATTTGTGTCGTCTTTTAGATCCGACTTGTCCTTATCAACAAGAACCACTGAATCAATACATAAACTTGGTGAGAAGTAAAGGTGCTTGTTAAGTGGACAAAGGTTGTAACACACAATAGAAATGTTAGAGGTACTCCACAGACCTAAATTACTTCTTGGTGTAAATTTGCCTGAGTTTCCGCAAGAGATGGGGTTTTAAACAGGATAGGGTTATTACAGGTTTTCCTTATGTTGAAACGAATTTTTGGCTTCCCTACAAAAATTGGCTATTTAGTAGAACCCTGGAGTAAATCCAGAGTTCTACGTTAATGAGAATTTTGAGACCCTAATTTATCTGTCTGGGAACCTCTGCTTCACTGAAGCTGTCTGGAAGCAAAGGTACATACATCCATGTCATAATCGTTTAACAGTAACTATTTCTTGTTGCTATCGGGCCTCACTGCACTCCAGGGCCGTGTCTACGGGACATCAAGATAAGCAGCCAATTCAAAGAAAATCAGTCAGCCTGTTTTCCCTTACACAAATAACAACAATAAAAAGCAGTTGTGTGATTCATTCATTTTCTAACAAATGGTGTTGAGTTTATTGTACATAGTTTCAGAGCTGTTAAGGAAGAAGTCAGTCAAATCAAATTTGGCTTTATGCAAATCATTTAATCAATTGACTGCAAGTTTTATCTCCCACTGGTGTTGGCATTGTGTGACCCCAGGATGCAGTGAAACCTAAGGAAATGAGCATGTCAACTATGACCCAAATCATTTAGCCCAGAGGTCGGCGAGCTTTTTCTATAACGGACCAGGTAATAAATATTTTAGGCTTTGTAGGCCATATATATAGTCTCTATGGCACCTACTCAACACTTCCGTTGTAGCAAAAACAGCCCCAGGCAATATGTGAACAAAGAGATACGGCCACGTTCCAAAAAAATTTTATTTGCAAAAACTGGTGATGGGGCCGATTTGGCACTCAGACCGTGGTCTGCAGACCCCTGATTTAGACCCTTGGAAAACCATTTGAAAGATCCTATCACTCAAGAATATTTTGATCGTGCCTTTTTAACTATTCTGATCAAAGTGTTTGGAAAAGGATAGACAGGAAGGAATTTAGCAGAACCCTAATCCCTCCAGATGGGCACAGGGGAGGTGCCCCAGGAGGGAAGGTGCTCCCTCACCACTTTCCAGAGACTTGATGACACTACCCACATTCCCTACTTTCACTCCGACTAAAACCTCATAAGGCAGGCATTAAAACCCCCATTTTGCAGATTTTTCAGAATCTGCGAAGGTTGAACTATTAAGCTGCAGAGCCAGCTTTCCAACCCAGACCTGTCTCACTCCATCACTCCTGCTGTTTCTACTGCACTGTGACCAGTTGGCCTGAACAAGGAAGGGCCTCTCGTTGGAATGGCTGTGAATTCACATCCACGCGGTGCCTGCAGGACCAAGTCCAGAACCCAGGAGGAGAATGTGCCGGCGGAGTAACTTCCTTATCTAACCGGCCAGTCAAGCAAAGCTCAGAACCGTGCACGGGGCTCGCAGATTTCCACTTCTGTGTGCTAGCAGGTCTGAGCTGATCCGAACCAAAGTCAGTGTTCACATTTGGTCCCCAAACAGGGATCCTGGGCCAGGTAGGGAGGAGACAGCATTTACAAAGTGGATGTTTTCTTAACCCTTTCCAGAACGCGAGAGTACAGTCATTTCAAATCATGGCCCGAGGGTGTTTTCTGAAAAAAGAAAGTGCCTTTTCAGCACTCTTGGTGTCTGATTTCAAACTCTGCCCTTCCATCAGGTGATTCTAAGTGGGCTGATGATGCTGCCCTGTTTTTACTGGTTCCCCACAAGGTATAGACACCTAGGTCCCCTCAGTGCCCCTGGACAAGGGTTTTATTTGGATCCTGGGTTAAGGGGTTGGGTCTAGTTCCCCGGGGCCTTTCCTAATTTCCTTTAAGGTGCCAAAGGACAATTAAAAAGAATTTTGACTGTGTGCATCTGGTCATGTAGAACCATTCACCCCAGTTATTCCACAGACAAGCTTACAATCCTCAGGAGGCTTACAATCCTCCCTAAGGATGGAGTTTCGTTGGACCCGACTGACGTCCAGCGTGTGAGCAGGAAACATGCCTGCAGCATCTCCTCTGAAAAAAAACTGCTCATCTCTTAAGAGGAATTAAGGAAGGAAGAATGTAGTGCGTAACGAAGAGTGGGGAATATGGTAGCTCATGAAGGCAAGAAAGCAACCCATATCTCAGACACTGAAGCAAAACCAAAGCAACAAACACCCTTTTGGCAGCATCTCAGCTTACCAAGGTAAGGGTAGCTCTGAGGAATGGGTATTATGTTTACCCCATTTTACCTATGAGAAACCTAAAGATGTTTAAAAAATTAAAAATAAAAAGGAAAGTGACTTGCTCTGAATAGGTGGGAACCAAGGCAAAAGTTCCTCAAGAGCTCACATAAAACCCACCAATTCAAATCTAAGTGTGAGGGCTTATGGACACTCAGCAGCATCCAGTAAAAGACATGAGTGCCCACCTGCCTTCAGCCACACAGCTCTCCCTGGGGCTGGGTTCTATTCCTCTATCCTTTGGGTAGCCATGCGCACCACACATATTAGCATATCTCTAATTATCTTGGAAGGATTCCATAGCTCTCAAGCCCAAATTAAAGTTCATCTCTTTTTATTAAAAAAAAAAAAATTGCATCTTGCCAGTATCAAACAATGAGACTTCACAATCGGAGAAATTTTGAAATCGCTCCTCCGAATTATATATTAACAAGCTTAATTCCAGAGAATTTACACAAGAAATAAAGGAAACAATGAGTTGGTGATAAAGTGGCTGCAAGTTATGTTTTAATCAGTGGAAGTATATTTTCTGAACCCTAAGGCCTCCAAGAGAATATCTTTTTGTAAAATAAACAAACACTCCCCAATTTATCTTTTTCTGTAAATCTAGATTCTCTTATATTAAGTTTGCTTGAAGCAAGGTGTACATAAATTCATTAAAAGGCATTTTAAAGACCTGGGCACCTTTGAAAAGGCAGAGCAATTTTTCTGGTAATATTTCTTTCTTGAGGAAGTCCAGAACCGAGCCCCCTAGAAAGGTTCAACTCCCATGAGGCAGTTGAGTTGACTTTGTTATTTCAAGAAAGGAATATTGTAGACACTCTCTGTATGATTTCAATTATTAATAACATGAGTCTCTGTTTGATCCCACATAATGGAAAATAAAGTTCACAGTTGTTCCATCCAACCCCAGGGATAAACATGAAGGTTAAAGAGAAACACGCTGCCCCCTTGCACGGGGACACACGGCACACCAGCCTTGCCACAGAGCGCGGAGAAGAATGACAAGAGGCAGGGCAGTGGAGCAAGCGAAGACTTGCCTGACAAAGCCAAGCCACACGGTCCTGGGGCACTCACAGAAACAAATCATGCCTTCAGCAGAAACCTAAGTAACTCAGAGAGAAACAGGCCGGAGGAATGGAACCACAAGCTCAAGAGCAGCTGTTTATGAAAAATAAAGCCAGTCATGTAAAGGACTCCACGGCTTTCCCCTCTCGGCCCCAAACCAATGTCACATTTGGCTTTTCATTGTGTGAATCATGAACTGGCCTTTCCTCGCTATGGTGATTCATGCCGCCCAGCGGAGACACGATGAGCCGTCCCACCTTGGAACACTAGTTCGTTCGCCTCCAGCCTGGAAACTTAGCATCACCTCTGACAGGTTGGTTTCTCCACCGGGCTCCGTCGCCCACCTCGCCCCTGCGCTCCCCTCCTGGCTGGGGACCCAGAGCCCGCTGCCTCCATCACGACCACATCCTCTCCGAGAAGTCCCAGGCCCACTGGTGAGCTCCCGGTGCCTACCTGTGCTGACATGGCTCTGACAGCCACGGTCAAACCACTTACGTTTTTGCCAGAGCATGGCCTGTGACAGGATGTTGCCTTTTCTCTTTGAAGCAGACAGTTTGGCTTCTTGAATGTGAGACCTGGGTGTGCTTTCCTCCAGTGTAGCCACTGCTTGCTCAGAGGATGTTTCCTCAGCTTTTTAAAGGCCCGAGTTCCCGCTGCGCGGGGGCACCGCGTCATCACATCCTCCCACCTCAGGCACGGGTGCACTTTTTCTTCAGCAGGGCTGCCTGTCACCCCACTGTGTGCGCCCTCAGAGGCCCCCCAGCTACAGACCGCTTGACTCACGGAGCCAGCCAGCAGGATCTGAACAACAGCACAGCACAGAAGGCCGTGGTCATCCAGACGCGGCCCCAGAGTGCAGAGTGATGCGTGTGGTGAGGGTGAACACGTCTGTGGACGTGAGCTGTGTGAGCATGCGTGTCAAGTCTTGGACCCCTCCACACCCATGATGAGCCCAAAAGACCCCTGGACAACTCTGGGTTTGCTGTGGTGCCCCTTCGGGCTTCTAAACCACAGGCACGTCAGCAGGACTCAGTCCGCCATGGGCCCTGCTCGACGGGAAATGCAATTCCCAGGGGTCACTGGTTCTCAACACAGGAGGAAACACCTGTAGTCTCTTCAAGCCTCACTAAACAACCTCTTCATTCTTTTAATACTGCTTTTCTGTTTATTCCATTTTGAAACACAATAGCCCCTCCCTTGCCCCTCAGCCACTGCCAAAATGGCGAGGCTTAATCATGCTTAAATATGGGGGACACTGGTTCCAGTGGTCCATATGCCCACGGAGAAAGAGGCCAACTCACTCAGGGAAGAGAGGAGTAGACACCCATGCTCTTCAACAATACAATACGAACAGGCCCTCCTTCCTAGTACCCACCCACCTGCTAGCATGAAGCTTCTCAGAAGAAAAGTAGTGAGGCTCACCACCTCATAGCATATGGGTGTTAGGCCATGGACTCCCTCCCAGTTTGGAAGCTCTCTGCCACTGTGTATCTCCCGCCGGGTGTGCTTAGGCCCCAGTGACCCAGTCATTTGACCCCCTGACCACGGCCCCCCAGCGCAAGGCGCCCTTGCTGCTCTGCCCGCCACGCTGCTTCAGAGCCATCTGACACAGCTCTGTCCACGGGAAACCAAGGCGCGTCCATCCGGCCTGGCTCAGTCATAGGAGGCGTGGGTTCCCAGCGCGCCTGTGCCATTCGCTGGCTGTGTCCTCTTCGCCAAGTCACGTCACGCTGAGTCTCTGCTTCCCTGTTTATAAAACGAAGGAGCGGTGCTCTGAACGCCTCACGGGGTTCTTGGGAGGATATGCGACCTCCCTGGGCCAGCCTCACTTTGTTCTGGGTTTTGTCCTTTCTCCAAGTTCCGTGAAATTCAGAACATTTTCTTATTTATGTTGGGCTCTCCCCCAGGCCTAGCGTAGTGATTTCCACGAGGCGATCGTAATAACAACTACTCACCAGGCACCAAGCTCTGTGCTAGGCCTTCACTACGTTATCCGATCGAGTTGCCACAGCTCTGTGAGGAAGCTCCTGTCCGTACAGTTTGGAGAAACAAATGCGCGGGAACTTCAACGGGGCCCGTGTCACGGGGCTATGAGGTGATAGGCCGGCTGTCAGACCCAAGTTCCTGGTGCTAGAGCCAGTGCTCTAAATAATCACACTGACAGGTATTTGTTCAGTTGAAGTCAGTGAAAGCCAGATGCCAGTCTTATTTAAAACCTAGAACGGAGCAATGGGAGATCTGGGCTAATTCTCTGTCCTCTGGAAAGAAGGGAGGAAGATGACAAAATCTAGAGGTGTGCTCACAAATCAGACCTCACACAGCAGCAGGTAAAAACTGTCAGGAGGTAAGCCCGCCGTCATGCCCAGCTCTAAGCCCCGCGGCCTCTGACAGCCTTAAAGCTCAGGAGCCAGATTCTAGCTCAGGGCTTCCAGTGAAGACTCTGGTTATCAACGACCACATACAAGCAGGTATTTGGGAACCAAGACTTGGTCAAAATATCCAATATTTGTTGGGAAGTCAGTTCCTGTGGCTGAGAATCCAAAGTCAAACTGCACGGCATAGTTCCAAAGGGGAGGAGGCGTCCATGTGTATGCAGTACTTCAAGAAGTCGAAGAAAAGAAAAAATTCTTCTAATGCCTCCAGAGGTATCAAATTTGGGTGTGCTCACATTTTTTTTTAAAGTTTCATATATCGAAATCAAAACTCCTAAAATAATTCAGTAAAGAGCATTGATTCATACTGCAAAAGAATCCTTAGCTTTGCAAAAAGGATTTACCACAGACTTCATTCATTCCTTCATTCAACATGTATCTACTTGTACTCACTATGTGCCATCATCCAGACTAGGCCTTATTTTCCCCTTTCCATTTGGGCCTTCATCATCCCTTTCAGCCATGGCACTTTATCATCATGGGTCCCCAACGGGTCTCTCTCTTATTCACTCATTCACCCATTCACTCATCCATCCGTTCATTCATTCCCTACCCGCATCTTCCATGCCTAGTCTTTCTCTTGTCGCCACTCACCTCCACCACATACCAGTCAAAGCAGGTATTTTCATCTGGTTGATGTCAATCCTTTTATTTGTAGACACTTGTACCTGTTCTTACAAAATGTGTACTGTTTTGCATGCACAGACCTTTTTTATTCATGTCTGTGGTGTTGTATTGTAAGCGTTCACACTGTTCCTGAGTTTGTCATTCAGCACTATGTTTAAGGGCCATCCACACTGCCGTGTAGACATTCCATCTGTCTCTTCGGATGTCTTCAAAGGAGCCCCTGGAATGCAAACACGGTGTTTTACTTAACCAGATTGTCTCTAACTTCTCCTTCCACAATCAAAGCATCGATGAATATTTTGATGCATCCTTTTACAGATATGCATGCTTTTGTGGGTTATATGCCCAGAGGTAGAATTACTATGTATGCATATATTTAAGCTGACAAAATACAACCAAATTGCTCTCCAGGACTCCCACCAGCTTCACAGATTTCCATTTCACCACCAAACTTGGCACCATCCAGCTTCCCAATTTTTGCTGACCAAATAGATGTAGTGATAGCTCATTGTGGTTTTGTTCTACATTACTAATACTAATACATAGTAATACATACTCTTCATATGCTTGTTAACCTTCTGGATTTCTTCCTCTAAAATAACTCTTTATTCCTTTGCCAATTTCTCCAGTGAGGTCGCTGTCATTTTCTTGTGGACTAGGAGTTCTTTGTATATTCTACATGTAAAATTCTAGATATTATCAGTTTTACTCAATATAAATTTCTTCTCCTAATCTGGCATCTGTTAACTTTATTCGTGGTATCCTTTTTTTTTTAATAGAAATATCCAATTTATATACATGGACCTGTCTTTAAACTCCATTGTATTTCATTGGTCTCATTGTCTGTTCTTGTACCAACACTTGAAAGTTTTCACTATTATTTATTATAGCACATCTTAAAATTTTAGAACAAGTTTATCAAGTTCCTCCAAAAAAATACAACTGGAATTTTTCTGTTTTTTCATTGAATTTATAGATTGCCTTAAGGAGGACTGATATCATTATAAGATTAATTTGGCCCAGCTGAGCAGGGGGTAGCTCTCCATCTATTGAAATCATATTCCATATTCTTTATTATTATAATTTTAAAATTTTCTCCGTGGAAGTCTGGTGTATTCCTAGATAAGTTTATTCTCATTTGCTTTATAGTTCCTGTTGACATTGTGAATGGCATCTTACTTTCTATTGTACTTTTGAGTTGGTTATTGATGTTGTTGAAACATTCTAATAATATTTGTGAGTTTATCTTACTTCTAACAACCTGGCTAAACTCTTTTACTGGTTCTAACAGTTTGTCTCTTGATTATGATGGTCTTTCTAGATAGATGATCATCTCTTCAGCTGACAATAGCAGTTTTCTCTTTTCCCTTCCAATCCTTACATCTCTTTTTTTTTAATTAAAGATTTTATTTATTTATTTATTTATTTATTTATTTATTTATTTGAGAGAGAGAGAGCACAAGCAGGGGGAACAGCAGAGGGAGAGGGAGAACAGACTCCCTGCCAAGTGTGGAGCCCAGTGCGGGCTCAATCCCAGGACCCCAGGATCATGACCTGAGCCAAAGGCAGACACTCAACCAACTGAGCCACTCAGGTGCCCCCAATCCTTACATCTCTTATTCCTTTCCTTATAGGTTTAGTGAGTACCATCCTAAACAGCAATGGTGATTGTGGTTATTCTTGTCTTGTCTTGAGTATGATGAAGATAAATTCCTAAAATTTAAAAAGAAATTATGAAAGATCTAAGATGGAAAGAGTGACAGTCAAACTCTAGGGGTCATGAAAAATTAACACCTAGACACATTATAATGAAGTTTAAAAACAACTCATACAAAGAGGAAAACCTAAAACCCTATGGAGAAAAAAAGTATATTAACAGCTGAGGAACAGGAATCATATTAATAGTATTCTTCTCAATAGCAAAACTAGATGCAAACGAACAACGAAGAAATATTTTTAAAGTATCAACGAAAAGAGCATTGAACCTATAATTTTAAATCCAGCCAAACTATCATTTAAATATGGTAGCATAACAAAAACATCCTCAGATAGACAAGGCCTCACATTAAAATTGCTCTTTGAGGAAGCACGCAAATAAAAAGGGCAACTGGGAGAATTTAAAAAAATACAGGAGCAAAAGGTGATCAGATCCATGGGTAAGGTTTATGATAGGAATTTTCTTTAAGCTGAAAAAAAAGAGAAAATACATCCCAAACCACCCAAAACAAAATATCTAGAAAATATCATCATGATTGCTCAAGTGCAAGGGACACCATTCACTTTATATTCTAATTTGCAGAGGCATGTAATGTGTGGCCCTGGAGGAGATCAAAGAGAAATTAAAATGTGCTAATGTTTTTGTTTTACAAAAGGGAAAATACAGGTATTGACAAATTTAAGAAATCGACAGGGGAAAATATAAACCTAAGTATGGATCAGAAGTAAGGGGTGATGGCCACTTTTGTTCCTACTATAAGAATAGATATAGAATGTTGCATTTTTAAACCAGCTGAAGAAAACTGGATCTTTCTATGGAAAACAGGAAGGGGGTATTAAAAAAAAAATACAGTGAATGGAAAGTAGAAATAGGGTAATAGGATAAGTTCTAATAGCACAGTAATTATAATAAATATAAAAATATAAAAAACATTAAACTCACCAATTAAAAGACAGATTCCTGGATTGAATTTAAATTCTAAAAACAAAAACAAAAACAACACTATGTTGTCTCTCAGAAAGAATCAAAACAAAAAGTCACAAGTAGTTCGAAAATAAAAGGCTGATATAATTCTTGATTTTGAAACTAGATAAGGTCAACACAAGAAAAGACTACAGACCCATTTAATTTGTGAACAGAGATTCAAAAATCCCAAATAAAATTTTGCTTTGCTGATAC